TCGGCGGGGGGCGAAGCTGCCCTGACGTGGCCGCTCTCTCCTCCCCGGGCAGCGGTGAAGTTTGGCCGCATGTCGAAGAAGCAGCGGGACAGCCTCTACGCTGAGGTGCAGAAGCACCAGCAGAGCCAGGAGCAGAGCGGCGGCACCAAGGATGAGCCCGAGCCCCTGAGCCGCGTCTACACCACCAGCGTCAGCAGCGGGCTCTCGGACCTGGATGACATCTCCACGCTGTCGGACGGGCTCCTCTTCGATTTCCCCCTCACCCCCGACGGCAGCAGCACCTACTACAACCTCGACCTGCTCGCCTCGGCGCAGCCCTCGCCCGACCAGTCCAGCCTGGATGTGGCCGATGCCACGCTCATCAAGCAGGAGTCCATCTACGAGCTGATGCTGGAGCCGGCCCTGTTCGCGCACGGGGCGCTGGAGGGCGGCCAGCTGGCTGCCGATATCTCCGTCCTCGAGATTGGTGAGCATTGGCGCGGTCCCGGCGTGATGCAGGGCACGCACTGGGGTGTGCAGCCCCCAGGGATGGTGGTCGGAGCAGCGCTGGGTGCCTCATAGGACGCATCCAGTCCTGGGCAGCGCCGGGCATGGTCACAGCGAGGGACCAACCCAGCCCCAGCTCTCGGAGCAGCTCCAAGCCTGTCCCCTCAGAGAATCACAGAGGTTGAGGGTGGAAGGGACAGCTGGAGGTCATCTGGTCCTGCTCAAGCAGGGCCACCTAAAGCCAGTTGCCCAGGACCGTGTCCAGATGGCTTCTCTTCCATCTCCATCCGGATTCCTGCTGGAAATTGAATGTAAATGTTATATATCTATGTTGTGGCACAGCATTAGGGCACACACAGGGCAGTGTCACAGTATAGTCCTCAGTGTCTTTTGGCCAAGCTATAGCTTCAGTAGACACTGGAACAATTTATCAACAAGAGTCTCCTCTTGCAAGGCAGTAGAAATAGCAAGTGGTAAATTGAATGTAAATGTTATATATCTATGTTGTGGCACAGCATTAGGGCACACACAGGGCAGTGTCACAGTATAGTCCTCAGTGTCTTTTGGCCAAGCTATAGCTTCAGTAGACACTGGAACAATTTATCAACAAGAGTCTCCTCTTGCAAGGCAGTAGAAATAGCAAGTGGTAATCTCATCAACGCTGATCAATATCTACGGGGCGGGTGGCGAGAGGACGGGGCCAGACTCTCTCCAGTGGTGCCCAGCGACAGGACAAGGGGCGATGGGCACAAACTGGAACGTGGGACATTCCGTCTGAGCATGAGGCAAAACTACTCTGCTGTACTGGCAGAGGCTGCCCAGAGAGGCGGTGGAGTCTCCTTCTCTGGAGAGATTCAAACCCCACCTGGACACCGTCCTGTGCGACTGCTCTGGGTGCCCCTGCTCTGGTGGGAGGTGGAGGAGATGATCTCCAGAGGTCCCTTCCAGCCCCCACCATTCTGTGATCTGTGATTCTGTAAACTAATAATACTCCAGGCTGAGCGCTGATGGAGATCAGTGCACATGAGGTCATGCAGAGCATCCCCACCTCTGCCCTGGGGACAGCCCCCGATGCCCCATCTGTCCTCAGCTCCTGGTGACACCACGCGTGAGCCCTTCTGCCCTTCCAGCCCCCAGCCGCCACCCAGGACAGCCAGGAGGGGACAGCATTGGGGTGTGGGGCCAGTGGTGTCCCCAGGGGCTCACCGACCTGCTGCCCTCTCCTTGCAGACCGGGTGGCCCAGAACGTGGTGAAGTCTCACCTGGAGACGTGCCAGTACACGACGGAGGAGCTCAAGCGCCTGGCGTGGAGCCTCTACTCCCCCGAGGAGGTCCGCGCCTTGCAGAGCAAGGTGAGTGCCACCACCACTGCCACCCTTCCCCCCTGGCTCCCCTCCATGGCCAGAGCCACCGCAGCCCTTCAGCAAGGGCCACCAAGGCAGGGATGAAGGCGAGGAGGATGAGGAGGGTCTTTTGGTGCTTTGGGAACTGCAAAAGCCCACTATTGGGGGTGGTGGTGGTGGCAGTGGTGGCAGGTCCAGGTGTCCTAGTGCCACCAGCCCCCATGGATGGCGTGGCACCTGGGTCCCTCGGCTGCCCCATGTGATAGGGTTGGGGAGGACAGTGGCACCGGGGTGGCAGGGTGGCAGAAGCCCTAAGGGACGTCGCCCGCTGTGCCGGCAGAGCTGCGAGGCCATGTGGCAGCAGTGCTCGCTGCAGATCTCCAACGCCATCCAGTACGTGGTGGAGTTCGCCAAACGCATCGACGGCTTCATGGAGCTCTGCCAGAACGACCAAATCATCCTCCTGAAAGCCGGTAAGAGCCGGGGGGACCCTGCCGTCCCCTTCGCGTCTCTGCCACCCCCCTCGCGTCCCCAACACCACTCCCAAGCAGCAGCCGTGGTGCCGAAAGCAAATCCCATCTTTTGTCTCGGCTAGTGGTTTCCTTTCGGGATCTCCCCTCCCTCGCCACCCCAGTTGCCCCCAGTCTCAGCGTCAGTGCTTGGGGAGCAGCTACTGGGCTGGAAGGAGTTGAAGGTCATGTTTAGGGGTGATGGTGTAGAGAGGGACATGGGGAGTAGAGGCTTTTCTCCATGGTTGCCCTCAACCAGATGTCACCCAGAAACGGGGACGGAAAGGAGCACAGCGGGTTTTCCCCCAGGAAAAGGGGTGCCAAACCCAAAGGAGAGCGGGGAGGGAGAAGAGGAAAGGATTGGCCTCTTCTCCCAATAAGAGACTGGGAAGAGAGGACAACGGCAGCACACCCGTGTCCCCCACCCATCCGTCTGCCCGAGCTGGTGATGCTGTGCCCTGGCGAGGGCTCTGAATGTGGAAAAGCCCCAAAATGCCAAAAAAAAAAGGTGGGAAAGCTGCCCAGTTTGTAAACTTTCAGGGCTGGGGAGCTGAGAGCCTCACCCGGCGCAGGGGACGTGTGCCGGCGTCCCGGCAGGGTGCGGTGCCCCGAAGCCAGAGCTGGCTGTGTCCGACACGCTGGAGTTTAACTCATTCTTTCATTTCTTCCTTCCATTTTCTTTTTATTTATTTTGTTTTCACCCTCTCCTCTCTCGGCGCTCCACCATGACCTTGCTTGATCCCTGTGGCCGGCTGTGAACGCCCGGATAATATTTCCCTTTGGTGAAATATTGCAATCACAATTGGAAACTTTTAAAAAAAAACAACAAACAACCCTGAACCCAAATTTGGGATATCGGAATAACCATTCTGCTCTTGGGAATGAACAATTCGGACTTGAAACTTGCACTGGGGGCTTTCTTCTTTCTTACATTTGGTCCTGGGATGATGGAACCCCCCTCTTCCCTGCCCTGGTCTGCGCTCTCTCTGCCTACGTCAGGTTGCCTGGAAGTGCTCCTCATCCGCATGATCCGCGCATTCAACCCCTTGAACAACACCGTCCTCTTCGAGGGCAAGTTCGGCGGCGTGCAGATGTTCAAGTCGCTCGGTAAGAGCCGCTTTGCTTGCGCCTCTCTCGGGGCTCTCCTCTCTTTTCGACGTCTCCAGATGGGGCTGGGGTTTGCAGCCAGGTGAAACGCGGCTGGGCGAAATTCCCCAGGGACAGGAGGGGGTGACATCTCCCCCATGTTTGCTCCCGTTGGGATCGGGTTGATGTGTGCCATGGCCCAGAAAGCCAACTGCATCATGGGCTGCATCAGAAGAAGTGTGGCCGGCAGGGCGAGGGAGGGGATTCTGCCCCTCTACTCCACTCTCGTGAGACCCCACCTGAAGTACTGCGTCCAGCTCTGGAGTCCCCAACATCAGAAGGACATGGACCTGCTGGAGCATGTCCAGAGGAGAGCCACGAGGATGATCCGAGGGCTGGAGCACCTCTCCTATGAGGAGAGGCTGAGAGAGTTGGGGGGGTTCAGCCTGGAGAAGAGAAGGCTCTGGGGAGACCTTATTGTGGCCTTCCAGTCCCTAAAGGGGCTCCAGGAGAGCTGGGGAAGGACTTTTTACTGGGGCATGGAGTGATAGGATGAGGGGAAATGGCTTTAATCTAGAAGAGGGCAGGTTTAGATTAAACATTAGGAAGAAGTTTATGACTTTGAGGGTGGTAAGGCACTGGCACAGGTTGCCCAGAGAGGTTGTTGAGGCCCCATCCCTGGAGGTGTTCAAGGCCAGGCTGGACGTGGCCTTGGGCAACCTGGTCTAGTGGGAGGTGTCCCCATCTATGGCAGGGGGGTTGGAACTCGATGATCTTCGAGGTCCTTTCCAACCTAAACCATTCTATGATGCTATGTTTGGGACTCACTTTCTTCCCCGCAATGTTGGGTATCTGCCAAGGAGTCCCCTTCACGCATCTCATCTCCGCAAACTTGCCAAGCCCTGGGTGCCACTGGGCAGCACGGAGCTGTGACATCCCCCTCTTCCCCCCCATTAGGCTGCGATGACCTCATCAGTGCCGTCTTTGAGCTGGCGAGGACCCTGTGCCGCCTGCAGCTGTCGGACGAGGAGCTTGCCCTCTTCACCGCTGCCGTCCTGCTCTCCCCAGGTACGCGGCGGGGCTGAGAGGGTGGGATGCCGCATCCAGGACTGGCCGGGGATGGGGGGGGGGTCTCGTGCCAAAGCTGGGGAGAGCCGACCCCTAAATCTCAGTTCTGCTTCCTCAGTGGATGATTTAAGTTATTCCCGGGAAAGGAGGTTGGGGGAAAAAATGCATCTGAAAATGCATCTGACAAATCTCCTCAGTGGGAGAAGGAGCCGCGTCCCCAACAGCAGGGTCGTGGGGGCTGGACAGGGGGCACCTGGCCCTGCCACCGTCCCCAAAAACATCCTGGGGAGCAGGAAGGGTTAAAAAGGTTTGCTCAATATGAGCCAGAAATGTGTGATCACGGCCCAGAAGGCCAACTGTACCCTGGGCTGCATCAGAAGAAGTGTGGCCAACAGGGCGAGGGGGGGGATTCTGCCCCTCTGCTCCACTCCTGTGAGACCCCACCTGGAGTACTGCATCCAGCTGTGGAGTCCCCAACATCAGAAGGACATGGACCTGCTGGAGCGTGTGCTGACGATGATCCGAGTGCTGGAGCACCTCTCCGATGAGGAGAGGCTGAGAGAGCTGGGGCTGTTCAGCCTGGAGAAGAGGAGGCTCCATGGTGGAGACCTTAGAGCCCCTTCCAGTACCTCCAGGAGAGCTGGGGAAGGACTTTTTACAGGGCATGTAGTGATAGGACGAGGGGGAATGGCTATAAACTGGAAGAGGGCAGGTTTAGGTTAAATATTAGCAAGAAATTTATGACTTTGAGGGTTGTAAGGCACTGGAACAGGTTGCCCAGAGCGATTGTTGAGGCCCCATCCCTGGAGGTGTTCAAGGCCAGGCTGGACGTGGCCTTGGGCAACCTGGGCTGGTGGGAGGTGTCCCCATCTATGGCAGGGGGGTTGGAACTTGATGATCTTCAAGGCCCTTTCCAACCTAAACCATTCTATGATTCTATGAAAAGAGCAAGAGGCCACTGCACCGTGCTGGGGGGACAGGGCACTGACTTGGCCACTGGCTGTCTCCTGTAGATCGCCCATGGCTGACAGAGTCCAAGAAGGTGCAGAAGCTCCAGGACAAGATCTATGTGGCCCTGCAGCACGAGATCCAGAAGAAACACTCCGCTGAGGACAAGCTCTCAAAGGTAGCGGTGCTGCCTGCGTGCGGGGCAGTGAGCCCGGCCAGGACACGGCACGTGTGCCATGGGGAGATGTCTGAACAAAGGATGTGGATGTGCCGGAGCTCGTTAGCCACACACGGGTGTTGGGGGGGGAGGGAGGGACAAACCCTGGGACCTGTTGAAGGAGACTTTCTCTTTCCATGGGCTGTGGGGGTTTGGGGCAAAAGGTGCTGTTTCAGGAACGCTTTGGGCAGGATGGAGGTGGGATGGGGGGCACTCAGGGGGGGCGCCTCACACCCTCCCAGGCGCTGGTTGTCCTGCGGAAAGCCGTGGGTTTGGAGGCAAGGCTACGTTGCTGCCGGGCTGCCCAAAGGTGGGGGGTGTCTGCTGGTGCCCCTGGTACCGGGCAGAGCCACTGGTCCCCAAACCCACTTGTTTGTCCCCAGGGGAGGGGGAACAGTGGCAATGAAGGAAGCTGGCCAGGACCCCAGTGGTCACCAGCTCCTGCTTCTTTCCCTGCAGATGGTTTCCAAGCTGCCCTTGATGAAGACCATTTGCAACCTGCACTTGGACAAGCTGGAATTTTTCCGTCTCCTGCACCCGGAGACCGCCATGAACTTCCCACCCCTCTATAAGGAGGTCTTCAACTCGGAGCTTCAGTACAGCGACCCACGGGAGAGCTAAGGCTGGGAGCCGCCGGCCCCCTTCAAGTTCCCCAAAATTCGGAGACGAACTAAACTTCAGAAGTTTGGGGCAGTTTATTTAAATCAAATAATCAAACTCAAGAGAACCCGGGGGGGCTGGGGTATCTCCCCGGCCCCATTTCCTCGCTGTGGATTGCAATAGCTCTTGAATGTAAAGCACCTTGAAGGAAAAAGCAAACGGACTTTGCCATACCAGTGAAATGAATGTGAAATCTCTGCTCGGGAGAGGAGATGCTCCTGGCAGCGGTAAGGGACCGACTCCTCCCCGCAAGTGCACGGATCCCGGGGAGCGCACGCCACGCACACGCCGCCGCGCTCACGGCACGGCCCTTCCCACCGTCCTGGCTGCACTCTCCGTCTCTGATTTTTATTTTTATTTTTTAATTATTATTTTGATTTTATTTTTTTTTTACCCAAACACAAGGCATGGGATAAAGAAGGGGCAATGCAGACTCAGCTGGATAGGGGTGGGGGGGCTGGTGGGGGCAGCTTTGGGGTCCCGGCTGGAGCCGAGGAGGGGGCGAAGGCAGAGCCTTTATTTATTCCTCCTCCCTTGGGGCGCGGGGTCACCTCAGGAGCTTGGCCAAGCAACACCTGGTTGTGACCGGGGGAGGATTCAGCATAGGATTTCCCCATGGAGGAGGCTTATCTGAGGGGAAAGGATGCCCAGCGCAGTGGGGGAGAAGCTCTGCAGGGTCTCCGTGCCCTCTCTTGTGGCGTTTTCCCAAACGCCTGCCCAGCTCCCCATCCAGCTGGCCGACCGCCCGGCTTTTCGGAGCCGATTCGGCAGCTCTGCCCACCTCGTGCCACCTTTCCGCCTCCTGAGCGCTTTTCAAAGAGGGGCTTTGCCCTTACAACTGTGGCCAAATCCCTGGATGAGTTGGACCCAGGCTTTCCCCCCACAAGGAGCTCTTCAGAACTGTTACTTTGGGGTTTGTTCTCTAGTTAGCAGGACCTGGGAGCTTTTTAGGGAGAGAAACTGCCCATTGGGGTCAAGGGGAAGCGGAAGGTCCTTATTCCTTCCCCGGGAAGCTGCTGTGGTCAAGACCTGTTGCTCTGAGCTTGGGAGGCTCAAAAGGTGAAGAAGGGATGGATTTGTGGGGCGATGTGGCGATAGCCCGCAGGCGGCGGGGCTGCTCAAGGGACTCTCCAGCTGGGTTCTGCAGGTGGTTTTTTCCGTCCCTATTCCTGCAGCGAATGCCAAAAGCTCCAAGGGAAAAACCTGCTCCGGGGCAGCCCCCAGTTTCTGCTGACAAAGGGCTAAAATCCCAAGCCCCTTCCCGCTTCGTGTTGATTTCTGGTGTGTCCAACCCCATCCTCTGGCAGCCCGGATCATCCCTGAGCTTAAGCTGAAGACCTTCATTTCCATAATTGCACCCCTTAAACTTAACGAGCAGCTTTCTTAGCGATGGTAGGGGATCTCCATGCTTTCGGTTAAAAGATCTCCTAGGGAAGACCACGGACCAACCTTGACCAGGGAAGACTCACCGGGAAGCCGATGGGATTTCTGCTTCGGTATAAGGCAGAGAAAAACTTGGGACCGTCCACCACGTAGAGCCGTGCGCTTTCTGGTTTTGCTGACTGCCGTCTGAGCTGCTTCTCGGAGCACGTCGGAGTTCGTCAGCCTTGTTTCTCTCCCCGATGGCGTTAGAGCCCAGGTCTCCGGCGAAGGCTGCCCGACCGTCCCGGCGGCCCCACACGATGTTGAGTGCCAATGTGTCGTCCTCCAGCGCAGCGTTCGCCGGGGCAGGGATGCGCCGTGCTTGTTTCCTGCCCTCTCGGATCCTAAAGCTTGTGCGAAGTGAGAAGTCAGTACTGCCTTTTTCATCTAGAGGGTTGTGCCTTTTTTTTTTTTTTTTATGGAAGAATCATTTCCAACAGCACCGTTCACCTCCCGGCTCCTCTCTGCAGGGGAAAAAGCACGTGAGAAAATGAATGTGCTTTGCGGAGGGGGCTCTCGCCCTCCGTTTCTGCAGGACAGCAGCGCTCCCTTTCTCGGAGGAAACGGCCGTGGGTGTTTTGAAATGTTTGGGGGGAAAAAAAAAAAAAGCACACACCCTTCTTTACATCCTCGGTATTTGTCAGCCAACGTGCACCAATGGTCAACGTCACCGTTTTCATTTCATCCGGCAAAGAAACCAAGAAAGCACCTTAAATCGGGAAAAGACTGAGCCCTCGCCACCGGTTGCGTTTTTCCGGCTTACGACACAGCGTCCATCTCATGGGAGAGATTTTGGATTCTGAGCAATAAAAGCCCCTGTGGGAATCTAGGGAAGACTGGAAGTATTAACCACGTGTAACTCAACCTGCCAAACTGCGGGAACCTGCACTTTTATGTTCTCTTTAAAGGAACCGACTTGTCGATTAAATGATTTCTTGGGAGGGGATAAATGATTAAATGTGGATTAAATGATTTCTTGCCTGGGACGGGCCATGCGCATCAGAAGGGATGGCAAGCGCGCGCCGAATCCCCCACGGCACCTCTGCTTGGCCGCAGCCTCTGCTTTCGGCTCACCCGAAGGCGCGGGGCAGCGGTGGCAGTGCCAAGGTCCCTCGCACTCCCTCTGTGCCACCAAGAGACAGCGGCTCGGCAGGGCCAGGGCTTGGTCCTGTTTGGTTTTTTTTAGGGCGAATGAAAAATGGGTAGAAATGCCTGAAAAAGGGAGATTTCCGCTCTCCCCTGCGCCAGAGCTGCGCGTGGCCAGTGGAGATGATGCTCGGGAGCCCTGAGCCCCGCAAACTCTCTTCGATGCTCGGTCCTCGGCGTCTCGGAGACGTATCCATCCCACCGGCCACGAGACATTTTGCCGCTTTATTTTCAAACAGACCTCGGCAGCGGTTCCCTTGAGCGGGGCGACCTCAGCCGCGAGGGATTGCTCTTTTCCAGATGAAGATTAATTTTGTGTTTGTTTGTTTGTTTGCTCTGGCAGTTTAGCTGAGTGTGCATTTCCACCTCCAGAACCCTCACACTGTGTATAAAAATGGATAAAATATATATATAATATATATTCTTGTGAATGTTGGTGCAAAAAGAGAAAAATATATAACGTTTCAGTCGGTTTTATGTTATTTTTTATCTATATGAATGAAAGGAAGAAATGGAAAACTTTTTTTTTTTTTCCATTTACCACCCTCCACACACACCTACCTGTAGATACCGACAGGTTTTATGGAAATGTTTTACTTTTTAGATTTAGGAACATGCTTCTGTTCTCATTGAATGTTCTGTCTTGTAAGATTGTAATTTCTATTTTTTTAAAGAAAAGAAAATAACTAAATAAAATTTCCTCTTTCGGACCAGTCAGCTAGGAAGGGAGGGCAGGGGAGGGAGAAATGTTTATTTAAGGACAAAAGCGTTGTCTGAATTTTTCATGACATTAAATAAAAAGTAATATAATGTATGGACAAAAAGCTTTTTATTGAGGTGTACTCTATAGGCATATAGATGTATATTGCACAAAATTTACAGGAAGAAAAATAAAGTCTGTTTTACAAGGTAACAAAATTAATAATGGTGGAAACAGTGAGTGTGATTCCAAATTTTAGCAAAGGGTGAGAGTGGAAGTGAACCCCTTGAAGTCACGGGAAAAACCTGTCCTTTCTTCAGTGGGCTCAGGACCGAGCTGCATCAGAAGCCCGATGCAGCGCAGGATTTGGACACAAGGGTAGATTTTAGATGTTGTAAGGTGTTAATGGGTCACTTAAGGCCAGGCACACACTGGGAAGGATCCCAAGACCTGGGAAGGGGGTTCAGCTGGGAAACCTCTGTTCAAAAACCACCAAGCAGAGGGCAGCAACTGCGCCCGGCAGGACTGGGGGACGCGTTTTGGGGCAGGGGGGTATGTGGATTCGTTTTCAAACTGTACCCAGTCCTAAAACGAAGGGAAGGAAGGAAGGAAGGAAGGAAGGTGCACGCCCTGGGTACAACAGGGATGCAAGGACTCGGATGCAAGGACTCCTCTCCACCAGGATGCAGTCGGTTCACAGGTATCACTGGGTATTAAGGGTGCAAATCCCATCCTCGTTTTCCTTCTGCTTCCCCTGAAAGTCTCACCTGGGTGCACGCTCCCTGCTCCTTGTGCAAACCCAGAGCAGTTGTGTCCCTTGGCGGCAGCTGTGGAGCAGAGCAAAACAACAAAAAGGGGTCCTCGCACAAGTGGAGGCAGTAAATCCCGGGGTCCCATTCCCCCCCGGCTCCCCAACCACTGCTGCTCTGCCGTTCCCAGGAGGCAGCACCCGTCCTCCTCCATGGTTCCCACCTGCAGAATTTCAATATTGCAGGATAAAACCTGGCTGCTACCGAGAGGCAGGAACAGCCAGAAACGGGGCACGGCTCGTGGAGACCTGGGGAAGGGTTATCAGCCAGTTGGGACAAGGAGGGATCGGGGCTGGGGCAGACGGGACTGCGGGGGGCACGCAGGGACCAGCTGGCGCTACTATGGAGGTGTCACAGCCCACGGCCCCGCCAAGCTGCTGCACACCGGCACTTTTATTTGGCTTTCATTTTGAAAAAGATGTCTTCTTCCACTAAAATTGTGTTTTTTTCTTTTTTTTTTTTTTTTGAAAAAAAAAATTAAAGCATGGCAAATCTGCTAAAAAAAAATTCCTTGCAAAGAACTACTCTTCAAACAAAACATGTTTATGAAAAATGGCCTTGGAGTTCCAGGGGAGATGCTGGGAATTGCTGAGAGGAGCGTTAATGTCCGCAGTCCGTGGGAGCCAGCGCAGGGCCGGTACGAGTGACCCCCGTAAGCCCAAACACTTCCAGCAAGAGGTGTCAGGACGGGAAAGTGTGTCTGTCCCACGCGGGACACAGCGAGGAGCTGCCGGTATGAGGGTGACCGGGATGCCCAGTGTCCTTTTCCTGCCCAACCCACCTTCCCCCAGTAAGCTCTCCCTTTCTCTTACTGGTGGCCCGAAGTCTCCAGTAGCACTGGATTTACTGAGGCGGAGTGACCTCTACTGGTTTATAGCTAAAAT